TTTTTGCATGAATGTGGATATCTACTTGAATGCTGCTTTACATGCTTCCTCAGGTCACTTCTGAAGGTGAATGAGGCCCTACATATGTGACAATGATATGGATCACTATCTCTGCTTACTAATTTATTTCTAAAGAGTCTTCTATTGTCTGGAATATCACAACTTTGTAAATGGGCTGTAGATTTGCTATTCTCTATTACCTTTAAATGTTTACAGTCCTGACAGACTTCATCGCCCTCGGCAAACACTTTACACATGTAAACTTTGTCACAGTAAGAGCATTTTTGTAATAATACTTCTTGATGTTCCAAACTCTCAAATGATTCATCTATGGGGCCTGATTTACTAATAACAGTACCATTTACAGCAGCATCCACTTTCCTTTCATAATTACTAGATTGTCCTATCTGGGTCGAAATTTTTGAGTTTTCACAAGCAATTACTTCTGTCACAATTACTTTCTCATGTTCTGTCTCTGTTAGGTTATAATGATAATTACTTTCTTTATCACTGTTATTGACACTCAGTTCAAGTACTGCATCCACAATGACATCCTGAGAATCTAACCAATCTGTCTCATCTTCTAGCTTTCTACTTTGGACACTACCCTCTTGCGTCAAGTAAGAAGGAAGGGCAGAGTCTACAATTCCTTCCCCACTGACAGTATTCTGGGCATTTGAAGCAGTTGGTGATGTTATTGTTCTGACTTCCTTACCCATTCTGCTCTCCACAGAACTAGAAATGACTTGGATCTTTTTCATATACAGTGTTTTCTCTTTCCTGGTGTGACTGGTTTGCTGATCAATTAAATCACTGTCACCTGATTTACATAACGGATCGTAATCTGAAGAAGTCTGTACAATATCAAAGGCACATAATCCTGTCTCGTCTAAGCATGAAACTTTAATAACAGTCAGCTCTTTCTCATTTGATGGCTGGTCCACAAAAAGCTCAATTCTCTCTCTAGCATTCAATAATACATTATCTTGGATGATGTGAGTCAGCTTGGGTATTGTAGGAGAGGCATTTGGCTCAGTGAGGGATGCATATGGCTTTCGTGGCTTTACAAATGCCTGCACTTTTGCGTGGTACATTGCAGCATCTATATTCACATTGAACCCTGCCTTTACATGTGATTTTAGATGCTTCTTGAGGCTAATAGCCCTCGTAAAAGATGCAGAACAAAATTTGCACACAAAGGGATGTTCCCCAGTGTGGCTCCTCATGTGTTCTGTAAGATGACTCTTCACCATGAAGGATGCATCACATTCGGTGCAACTGTAGGGTCTATATCCTGAATGTGTGCGCATGTGAATGAACAGCGATGCACGATAGCGGTAGGCCTTCCCACAGACACTACAGCTGTACTTTGTCTCACCAGTGTGGATGGCTGTATGGCTCTCCAGGACGGCCCGAGTCTTGAAAACTTTACCACAGATTTCGCACATAAAAGGCCTTTCGTTGGAGTGACTTTCCATGTGCATTCTTACCCCCTGAGTAGTTTTGAATTTCTTGCCACACATTTTGCACACGTGAGATCGATCATCACTGTGTGTTTCCTTGTGAATGCTGAGGTTGTACTTTTTATAAAACGATTTTCCGCACTCACTGCAGCTGTAACAACGCACAGGATTATGTACATTACGTTCATGATCGTTCTTCGAGCCCAAAGTCTTGAAAGATTTGGCACAATGGCCACACTTGAAACTCTTTCCCCTGCGGGATCCCTGTCGTTTTCCATTGAGCAAAACGTCGTGATTGGTGCATGGGAATGAATGGATGTTGGCCGAACTGCATCCTGCCTCCCTGTGATCTACCCACTCATCCTTGCTCTCAAACTCCCGTCCACAATCGCAGCAAGAAAAAGGTGGACCATCGTTATGCTTCCTCTTGTGAGCCTGCAATAAACTCCACCTTTTGAAAGTGAAGCTGCACTCTTCACACGCGTACCTCTTCTCAATATCCTTCGATTCAAGAGTCGCGTAATTCATGTGATCGTCTCTCCTTCCGACTGATACCGACTCCACGGGACATTTTAGACAACGACCATTATTAAGAGAACGGCATTCATCACACTTTTTCTTCTCTTCCCCTTCCTCAGTCTCCTTGTCAACCCCTCTCTTCTGCTTTTTGTTCCCAACCACATTTTCCATTTTTTGTTAAATATAGCACAATAATCTGTTTCTAATATTATAACATACCTTCAGACTACCAACTTATAATTAGAAAAAAAATTTACAATCACATTTACCTACTTGTTACAAGAAACCTAGACACTTACATTATTTCATTAACCGTTCTAATTAACATCTCTACTGATTTTATATTTACAACCGTGACGTTCACTTCTAATGTGGAATCTCACGAGCTTATGAGCTTTAAACTGGAATGATGTCAACAGCTTACTTAGCAACCTGAGCTCCTTGAGACGCATCTGAAATGAAGTAACAGAAAATAACAGATTTACAAAATACAAGTACAGGTATAGAATAAATGTACATTACTATGAATAAAGGATTATATTCCACTACCATCTTAACATACAGTTGCATCTCAAATACTGGCAACTCTCAATAAGAAATCCATTTTTTCTTCAATAATAATAATAATAATAATAATAATAATAACAACAATAATAATATATTTTCCTTATTATCATTATAAAATAATAATAAAAATAATAATAATATAAAATTCTTAAAAAAAAAAAAATAATAAAAAAAAAATATATATATATATAAACAAATCTACTGCTTTCACCTTCTTACCTCTGATGCTATAGAAAACAATTTCTACTGCAGTCTGATGATAATTTTCTGCATTTCCTTGAAGCCTGTTATTCAGTCACCCACAAGTCTGTAAAAAATGTCCAGAAATTTTCTTCAGACCTTCTAATGACAAAAAAAAAAAATCATCTTTAAATACAGTAAAAATCTGACAGATGAAAACCAAAATAAATGGATAGCATGATAGACTAATAATTCTATTACAAAAAGTTGGTAATCATTGGCATAGACAAAAAAAAGTTAATACTGTCTTTCATAAGGAAAATAGTAAAGATTTCTACATGTAAATGCATTTTCCAGTAGACTTCCTGTACTCTAGCCAACTTTCTAAAAAACAAAAAGATTCATAAAAAATTACCCAATTATTACATTAATAAGAAACAACATAAAACTAGAACCATCCCTATGAATCCTTTTCAAGTAAAAAAAAAAAAGTAATTAAATAGCAAGTTAATGTTAATCCAAATAGTAATCATATAGAGAAAAGAATACTGAGCAGGACAGACTTCTTAAACATAAACATGAAGAAGAGAGAGAGAGAGAGAGAAGGGGATAATTTACTTTAGCAGAACTGTTATTTACTTCAACCATTCTTTACCAAAACCACTTGAAACACATATGCCACAGCAAATTTGTGGTTAGTGCATAGACAAAAAACTTCTACTTGACTGGCAGCAAACAGGTCTAAGCATGGTCCCTCATTTCTTAACCCATTGGCCACGGATTTATGTTCTGTCCCCTCTTGGTTTTGGTGAATTTTGCTACCAACAGATGGCTCCACATGTACTCAGCTGGCAAGGAGTCTATCAGTAGGTCCTAGTTACCGACCCTCATTTTCCCATTCATTGAATTGGCGGGAAAATTAATATCATTGCTTTCGATGCTGTTATTATTGTTACTGATGTTATGATGATTGAATTGTTATTAGAATATTTTTGACAATAAGATGATACAAAAAATCCTTTCCGAAAGTGAAGGAAAAGGCTAAACAGGTGAAATAGGTAGTTCTTGATAACTGGCTATTTGGTAATTAAGAACTTGTAGAGCCATCTATGTGTAAATACAATAAATAAACGTGTATCAAAGTGGGTATGGCATCTATTCTTGCCATCCGCGGCGAATGGGTTAATACTAAAAAATGGATCCCTATAGTCTGCTTCTGATGTGTAGTGGAAGCAATATTCAGTCATTTTTGTCTGTGGTAATTAATCAGAGCCAATATTGGCTCTGGATGGTGCAAAGTATACTACTGAAATTGTATGATATAAAAAAGAGAAAAAATGTGATGAAGTTATGAAAAGAATAACTTATGCTAATTTTATGTAAAAATGGGCCCCAATGTGATACCTAACTGAGATCTTCCCTAACCCCTGACCTGATGTACAAAAATTTCATTGCATAGTCACTTTTTGGCAAGATGGGAGTTTGGTTAAGCTGGCAAACATTTACCATGATGAAAATACTACTCACTACCATCCACTATTCACATAGCATTACTCAAGTACAATTGATCTCCCTTAATAGCATGTATTTTTTTTTTTTAACACTTGCCCTAATATCCTACTAAATACAATATCATTGCTACTGTTACTTAAATATATACCCAACATTTCTTCATACCTTCTCTTCATATATTTTTAAATTTTGATTGAATTTCTTGCATTTTCTCTCTTTTACTGGCAGTTATCAAAAGATATCAATGTTTTATTTTTGCAGGAAGATCTTCACTTAGTAAAGGGAAGAATTCTTAATTTACTCTTATTCTAGGTAATAGTATTTTATGATTAATATTCTTTTAAGATGTCCTTGCCAACCGTTCTATTTTATTTTTACTTATAAAATTAGTTTGTGTCCTGATTTTGTGCAGTTTCTGTCTCCTTTTTCATTATCTATGAGTATTGGAATTGTCATATACAATGTCTTCTATTCATTCTATCCATATTTTACTAAGGTATAGAATAATACTTGATGACAATATACTGTAATAATTAAAAAATTATATTAATGTTTAATCAAATGTCTTTTCACTGCACTTTAGATTATTGAAGTAGCTAAATATACAGTACAGTTTAAATATACAGTATATATACAGTTCAAACATATAGCTAAATATACAGTATAGTTTTACAGACTGCAACCGTAGCTATGAAAACAACTTTTGGTTAAAATATACAAAAACATTATTGAGAAACAACAGGGTACTACAAGCTATGAAAATACAGTAATCAGTATGCAGTAAGGAAGGTTTCTATTATGGTGATCTTTGGGGTAGTTAATGCATGTTGTATGGAGTTAATTCGTTCTTTTCTTAGAGCGATGGGTCTTGTTGTAAGTTTTTTACCCAGCTCATTTCTCAGTGATTTTATCATGTTAAATACAATGGCACTTGAAACTGATTGGGATTTGTGATGACTCATAATGACAAGCATTAAATGCACTTTTATTCTGACAAGACAGCTCTTTATTTGATGATAGATGAACAGGGAAGTCTATAAACCCTATCTCGCTAATACATACATGATGAGGGATTGTTGGCCTTTGCCGGAGTGCCAACAGTTGCAGGTCGCCCGAATGGCTGAAGATCAGGGGCAGATGTGCCTTTAAAATTCGCACCAAAAATACTAATATACTAAATAATAAAGGACATGAAACTTGTAATAGTTCAGATTGGTAAAGCATGAAGCAATGATATGACTGGCCTCTGAGCTTCACCCCCCCCCCCACACACACACACACATAGGCCTATACACGGCAAGATGTAGCTTAGACTCATCCACTCTATAATTATGAATAATTCATGTAAGTTAAAAAATATGAGGCAGAAACATGTAATAAGTCTTAAATTTCAAACTCTAACCTGGTTTTTATTTTCTTCTGATCACTTTTACCCCATTTAGTTATTTAATTTATTCATTTATTCTATTCTGTTATTTAATTTATCTATTTCGTGGACTAAAGCAATCAATAATCTGAATAATTATCGATAAATGATAAAGAAAGGAAATTCTGAAAAGTAATGTTCCTATTTATTCATTCGTGATTATGATACTCTATGTAGAAATTAGTTCATTAATTAAAAAAAATATTTAACGGTAAAAACTGACGAATTATTATTAACATGTATCTTCTTCTTTTACCTTCTATTCTTAATGTAAAAGAAATCAAAATTTCATTACCTCTCTCTTCCCTATTTCCTCTTCCTCTTCTTCCTCTCCTTCTTTCCATCCCTGTCATTCATCTTCAAAAAAAAAATCTCCAACAAACTCTTCAAAAATCTTAAAAAAAACTATCCTCTCTCTCTCTTTCTCTCTCCTTCGTCCTTTTCGCGGTTTGTTTACGTTTTGGAAAATAAATAATAATAAGAAATAAGATAAGAAGGAAAGGAAACTCCGGGGATGATGTAGGGAGGCGTTCGTTCAATAGATGGCGCTGAGGGAGGGAGGAGGTATGGGGGGAGGGGAGAAAGAGGGAGAGAGAAAGTAGGGAGAATGAGGGAGAGAGGGAAATAGGAGGAAAGAGGGAAAAAGAGGAAGAGAGGAAAGTAGGGAGAATGAGGGAGAGAGATAAATAGGGAGGAAGAGGGAGAGGGGGAGAGAGGAAATTATGGAGAAAGAGGGAGAGGGAGAGAGAGAGAGAGGGTGATGGTTGGAGGGTGGTTATACAATAAATGGAACTAATTTGAAATATTTATTTATATTTGATTAGATTATTTTCAATGTCTTTTCTATTTTCGTCATTTTTTACTTATGGTTTTGATTTTGTAACCTAAATGTGTTTAGCCAGGTTATCGCATCAAAAATCATTTTTAATTGATATATATACCTGTATGTCCTCCAAGTCTCCTATTTATCACTTTTTTTCTAATTCTCTTCATGTCTACTCCCCCTTTTTCCCTTTCCAAATAATTAAAATCGTTATATTCAGTTAATTGCGTTTTTTTTTTATAAAATATGTATGAACATAATCATAACTTTCAACCTCGATGTTTTTTCTCTCTCTCAAAGGATTTCTTCATTTTTTTAAAAGTCTATCATGTAAGGTTAAGGAAAAATCACAGTAAATAATCCAATCGCTTTAATAATCAGAACATAATTCGTTTTATTGGCTACAATAGGGCAATTCTTACACAATACTTCTATTATATCCGGGTTGGGAATGGATGATTGCCTCAGTTCATTTCTTCGTATATTTTTTCTTTTCTTTTATAATTTTTTATATTCACCTGTTTATTCATATATTTTTTTTCAGATTGCTTGAAATACCTTTTCGAGACTTGGGGTTGATTGCAGTCGGCGCTTGGGTGGAATTTGGAGTCGAGTGAGGGTATGTGGAAAGGGGGAATGGGGGAGAGAACCTGTTGGAGGGGGGAGGGATCAAAGAGAGAGAAAGAGAAAGAAAAGAGAGAGAAAGAGAGAAAACGCCGAAAGGGAAATGAGAGTCAACTTGATCCACGTTCGATACATCTAACCTGGAATTTGCAAAGATAAGGGAGTTTTAGGTAAAATAATTATACCTCATTCATGCTTTGACTTTTTTTCCCATGTCTTCACATTCATGAATCAAGTACATATCATATCTTTAATTACATATAATAACTAATAGGAATGAAGATAACGGCTGATTCACGAGAGAGCGAGAAACATAAATCAATAAACCCTTATCCCCCTCTCAGCAGTTATGAAAATCCTAAAAAAAAGAAAACAACCATCCATTTAACCAAGTTCTTCGAAGGTCATCACCTCCTGAGCAGCTAACAATGTCTTGCCACACAAACCAGACCGGCTTCAGACCTCTTCAAGCCTTTGCCTGGGCTTTTGATCACGCATGTCATATTACGTGTTAACGGTAATAGCCTTCCAATACTCTTATCATGGAAGGACTCACCACTCAGTGGAAAGGGATCTGGTAAGTACCTTGTAAGTCCTAGCTTATCACAGGGCATCATCTTGGGCCCAATACTCTAAAAAGTCCATTTTGATTGTATTTTCCAACTAATTATATAGTCACAAACATAAGATGATTGTAAAGTGAGCTTCACCTATGCACGTAAGACAATATCACATGAACAGGAACTGGCAAGTTACCAAAGCTCCTGAAAAGACACAGGCAAAGTTAATATCCCAATGTTTCCAGTCTAGGAACATTAAACACAAGCATCATACTCGATACAAAACTCATACAGGCTCAAGAGAAAACTGAGGTGCTAGGCATCAAAGTCACCAGCGATATGACGTACACAGGTCGCGAAGTTCACAGGTCGCGTCGAGATGATCAGAAAGGCTACTAGAAGATGAACGTTAAATATAAACCATCCCTTATTAAGCAAAGAGGAATGGTCTTCATACTCCCAATCCTACTTATCCTACTTGCACCTTCTTGAAAACCAGACAGACTTCCAAGTTATCAGAACACAAAAGCTGAAGCACTACAACCTCTTAAAACCTCGGCAAGATGTTGGTTCATGTGGCCAGGTTGTGTGAAAAAAAGTTCAATAACAACTCGAACCACACCTGTTGGCTTCTCTGCAACTCCCAACTGGCGGTACCACATTCACACTCGTCTAAAAGCCAACTAATGTGTATTTTGCTAGGACTGAAATCTGTATGTTTTATATTACCCTGTCAACATTTCCATAGATTCATTTTCTTGTTGTGGGTGAGAAATAAAGAGAAAACCAATAAAAATAAGCTATGTAAAGAAAAAAATACGAGGATCTCAGCTTCTTACATGGCACCTGTCTAAGTCCGGGGTTCGAGCACTTGGCCACCTCGAGATGGCAAGGGTTGGAATAGCTCTGGCCGTCACTCCCACACACGGGGTTGTATTCAAGCGTGCAGATTTGCGGACAGTCCCCAGCCCCGCGGGAAGCCCCTGAAAAGATTATATTTTTCTTATTCTCTACTTATTTTATTATATATAGATATATGTATATATTTTTTGTACGGGTGTGTATGTGTGTGTGTGTGTGTGTGTGTGTGTGTGTGTGTGTGTGTGTGTGTGTGTGTGTGTGTGTGTGTGTGTGTGTGTGTGTGTGTGTGTGTGGTGTGTGTGTGTGTGTGTGTGTGTGTGTGTGTGTGTGTGTGTGTGTGTGTGTGTGTGTGTGTGTGTGTGTGTGTGTGTGTGTGTGTGTGTGTGTATGTGTGTGTGCGTGTGCGTGTGCGTGCGTGTATGTGTGTGTGTGTGTGTGTGTGTGTGTTCACTCACTTGCTGGGCCGGCCTCTGCTGTCGCCGCCAGCACCACCACGAACAGCAGTCCGAATGCGAAGGAGATTCTTGCCATATCTGGTTCGATCGAGAAGAAAAATTCTGTATTAGCAAAATGCATCAATTTATGTACACACACACACACACGCACACACACACACACACACACACACACACACACACACACACACACACACACACACACACACACACACACATACACACACACACACACACATACAAATATTGTAATAGTAAATAAATATTGCAGTAAATATTGTAGTAAATAAATATTGTAAATATTGTAGTAGTAAATAAATAATGTAAATATTGCAATAGTAAATAAGTATTGTAAATATTGTAGTAAATAAATATTGTAAATATTGTAGTAGTAAATAAATAATGTAAATATTGTAATAGTAAATAAATATTGCAGTAAATATTGTAGTAGTAAATAAATAATGTAAATATTGCAATAGTAAATAAGTATTGTAAATATTGTAGTAGTAAATAAATAATGTAAATATTGCAATAGTAAATAAGTATTGTAAATATTGTAGTAAATAAATATTGTAAATATTGTAGTAGTAAATAAATAATGTAAATATTGCAATAGTAAATAAGTATTGTAAATATTGTAGTAAATAAATATTGTAAATATTGTAGTAAATAAATATTGTAAATATTGTAGTAAATAAATATTGTAAATATTGTAGTAAATAAATATTGTAAATATTGTAGTAAATAAATATTGCAGTAAATATTGTAGTAAATAAATATTGTAAATATTGTAGTAGTAAATAAATAATGTAAATATTGCAATAGTAAATAAGTATTGTAAATATTGTAGTAGTAAATAAATAATGTAAATATTGCAATAGTAAATAAGTATTGTAAATATTGTAGTAAATAAATATTGTAAATATTGTAGTAGTAAATAAATAATGTAAATATTGCAATAGTAAATAAGTATTGTAAATATTGTAGTAGTAAATAAATAATGTAAATATTGTAATAGTAAATAAATATTGTAAATATTGTAGTAGTAAATAAATAATGTAAATATTGTAATAGTAAATAAATATTGTAAATATTGTAGTAAATAAATATTGTAAATATTGTAGTAGTAAATAGATATTGTAGTAGTGAATAAATATTATAAATATTATAGTATCAAATAAATATTGTAGTAGTAAATAAATAATGTAAATATTGCAATAGTAAATAAGTATTGTAAATATTGTAGTAAATAAATATTGCAGTAAATATTGTAGTAAATAAATATTGCAGTAAATATTGTAGTAAATAAATATTGCAGTAAATATTGTAGTAAATAAATATTGCAGTAAATATTGTAGTAGTAAATAAATAATGTAAATATTGCAATAGTAAATAAGTATTGTAAATATTGTAGTAGTAAATAAATAATGTAAATATTGTAATAGTAAATAAATATTGCAGTAAATATTGTAGTAAATAAATATTGTAAATATTGTAGTAGTAAATAAATAATGTAAATATTGTAATAGTAAATAAATATTGCAGTAAATATTGTAGTAAATAAATATTGCAGTAAATATTGTAGTAAATAAATATTGCAGTAAATATTGTAGTAAATAAATATTGCAGTAAATATTGTAGTAGTAAATAAATAATGTAAATATTGTAATAGTAAATAAATATTGTAAATATTGTAGTAAATAAATATTGTAAATATTGTAGTAGTAAATAGATATTGTAGTAGTGAATAAATATTATAAATATTATAGTATCAAATAAATATTGTAGTAGTAAATAAATAATGTAAATATTGCAATAGTAAATAAGTATTGTAAATATTGTAGTAAATAAATATTGTAAATATTGTAGTAAATAAATATTGTAAATATTGTAGTAGTAAATAAATAATGTAAATATTGCAATAGTAAATAAGTATTGTAAATATTGTAGTAAATAAATATTGTAAATATTGTAGTAGTAAATAAATAATGTAAATATTGTAATAGTAAATAAATATTGCAGTAAATATTGTAGTAAATAAATATTGTAAATATTGTAGTAGTAAATAAATAATGTAAATATTGCAATAGTAAATAAGTATTGTAAATATTGTAGTAGTAAATAAATAATGTAAATATTGCAATAGTAAATAAGTATTGTAAATATTGTAGTAGTAAATAAATAATGTAAATATTGCAATAGTAAATAAGTATTGTAAATATTGTAGTAAATAAATATTGTAAATATTGTAGTAAATAAATATTGCAGTAAATATTGTAGTAAATAAATATTGCAGTAAATATTGTAGTAAATAAATATTGTAAATATTGTAGTAGTAAATAAATAATGTAAATATTGTAATAGTAAATAAATATTGCAGTAAATATTGTAGTAAATAAATATTGTAAATATTGTAGTAGTAAATAAATAATGTAAATATTGCAATAGTAAATAAGTATTGTAAATATTGTAGTAAATAAATATTGCAGTAAATATTGTAGTAAATAAATATTGTAAATATTGTAGTAAATGAATATTGTAAATATTGTAGTAGTAAACAAATAATGTAAATATTGTAATAGTAAATAAATATTGTAAATATTGGAGTTAATAAATATTGCAGTAAATATTGTAGTAGTAAATAAATAATGTAAATATTGCAATAGTAAATAAGTATTGTAAATATTGTAGTAAATAAATATTGCAAATATTGCAGTAAACATTGTAGTAGTAAATAGATATTGTAGTAGTGAATAAATATTATAAATATTATAGTATCAAATAAATATTGTAGTAGTTGTAAATAGAACACGGGGTAAACTTGAGACAATGGAGAAAGATAATGATAATAACTACAACAAAGTGCACAAGACAACCCACACATTAAAACATACATCGTGGCCCAGAAATTTACCACTAAGGGGTAAGAAGATGCAACATGCAGCCTGTTGCAGATGACCCGGACGAAGGAATTTAAAAGAACAGAAAGTGCTTAATCACTGCTCAGTCACCAATGTTAATCTTCTTCCTTCAAGAAATATAATCTTTTCCTCCGTTATATCAATATTTAGCACAATGGTAAAACAAACAAACAAACACACACACACACACACACACACACACACACACACACACACACACACGCACACACACACGCACGCACACACACACGCACGCACACACACGCACACACACACGCGCACACACACACACACACACACACACACACACACACACACACACACACACACACACACACACACACACACACACACACACACACACACACAGAAGAAGAAGAAGAAAAAGAAGAAGAAGAAGAAGAAAAAAAAAAGAAGAAGAAGAAAGACTGCCACAGGAAACTTCTCAAATTGTACACCTCAAAGCATATAGGTATATAGGCCTACATTCTGCACTGAGACCAATGCCACCTCCTCGACTCGTGTATGAAAGCTTATGGTATCGACTGACCGAAATTAAGTGCCCAGCTAATGAAAATTAAATAAATCA